ACTGAACATTGTGAAAATGTCAATACTACCCAAAGCAATCATCTATACATTCAGTGCAATTCCATCAACATTCTATAAAGACATGGAAAAACCAATCACTAATTTTATATGGAAAGGAAAGAGATCTCAGATAAGCAAAGCACTACTGAAGAAAAACAAAGTAGGAGATCTCACCCTGAAAACCTACTATACAGCCACAGTAGTCAAAACAGCCTGGTATTGATACAATGACAGACACAGTCCATTGGAACAGAACTGAGAACCCAGAAATAGATATATCAACCTATGGTCAGCTGATCTTTGACAAAGGGCTGAAATCATTTAAATGGGGAAGAGATACTCTCTTTCACAAATGGTGCTGGCAAAACTGGATATCCATTTGCAGAAAAATGAAACAAGATCCATATCTCACACCATACACAAAAACTAACTCCAAATGGATCAAAGACTTAAATGTGACACCTAAAACTATAAAGTTCATCAAAGAAAAAATTAGAGGCCCTAATTTATGGCATAAATAGACTATCAACCATAACCCAAGATGCACAAACAGCAGAAGATAAACTAGATGATTGATACCTTCTAAAAATTAAATTCTTATGTGCATCAAAAGACTTCTCCAAAAGAGTAAAAAGAATGGGAGAAAATATTCAGCAATGATATATCAGACAAAGGACTTATCTCTAAGATTTATGGCAAACTACAACACCTCAACATCAAAAACACAATCCAATTGAAAATGAGCAAAAGTCATGAACAGACACTTCACCAAAGAAGATATTCAGGCAGCCAACAAACACATGAAGAAATATTTGCGATTTTAGCTGTTAGAGAGATGCAAATCAAAAGAACCATGAGATACCATCTTGCCCCAGCATTAACGGCAAAGTTCAACAAGACAGAAAATAGCAAATACTGGCAAGGATATGGAGAGATTGGGACTCTCATACACTGCTAATGCAACTGTAAAATGATGAAACCACTGTGGAAATCTACTGGTATGAAAATTCCTCAAAAAGCTGGAAATAGAAATAGCATTGATCCAGTAATCCCATTACTAAGTATATCTCCTAAAGAAGTGATAGCCAGGACATGAATAGACATATGCACACCCATGTTCATTGCAGCACTATTCGCAATAGCAAAGAGATGGAAACAACCTAAGTGCCCATTAACCAAGGAATGGGTAAACAAACTGTGGTACATACACACAATGGAATATTATGCAACCCTAAAGAATAATATAGAGCTCAGGACCATGGTCACAGGGGACATCAAGTTCAATTGGAATAAACATTGTTCTACGACCTACTTTGGTGAATAGCAAATGGGGTCTTAAAAGCTTACAAGCAGCTATCTAGATGCAATGATGGGTTTCTACTCATCTAGACCAAAGAAAAATGAAGAAAACCAAAGATGCACGGAAACAATTAGTCCAAGGGACTGGCAGACAATGCAGTCTTCAGCCTGTATGACCATGAGACCAGAAGAACTAGATGGTGCCTGGCTACCACTGTCAACCATTCAGAGGGAATCTGTACAGGAGATCCTGGATAGAGTGGGAAAACAATGTGGAAAAAAACTCAAAATCATTAAAAAAAAAAAAAAAGACCAAGATTGCTAATCTCCTAGATCCAGGTAAGACCCCTGAGCTATGGCCCCTCATTACCCTTCAGGTCTCGAACTGAGCGCACTCCTGTGGGCTTCCAGCCAAACAACAGACAGGCATATGGGGTGAGCATTTACATCAAGTAGATACACTCCTTGGAGCAATCAATCACGGGAGAACAGAAGAGCAGTGTTAGCACAGGAAGACGGCTGCAGGGGGTGGGGGGTGCATGGTAGGAAAGGACACGGGAAAGAGGTAACTATAAGGAGAAAGTGGGAAGGGAGCTGTTACACTGTGGGGAATTGTAGTCAATGTCATGAAACAAAATGTGCATGAACTGCTATTTGGAAAATGAATTTGCTCTGTAAACTTTCACCCAAATCACAATAAAAATTTTTTAAAAAAAGAAAAGAATAATGTAGAATCTGCAAAACACCACCTAACATGGATGAACTTGGAGGACATTATGCTGAGTGAAATAAGTCAATCACAAAATGACAAACATTATATTAGTCCAATATTGTAAAAAGTCAAGGAATGGTTTATACATGGAAGGAAACTTTGTTTGGAGGGGAGGGGAGGATAAATTCCTAGATAGGTTGAAAAAATAAAAAATATGTGTGTGTGTGTGTGTGTGTGTGCATACGTACTCAACTCACTGCCGTTGAGTTGATTTGACTCATAGTGATCCCTCCTTGGGTTTCTGAGGCGTTATCTCTATGGAAGTAGATTGCCCAATCTTCCTTCCAAGAAGTGGCTGGTAGGTTTGAACCACCAGCCTTCTGGTTAGCAGTCAAATGCCTTA